CAAAACATGCCTTACTATAGCCTAAATTAAGGCACAAAATGCCTTAATTTTATTATGTTGTGTTTTAGTAAAATGCATCTTTTTATTACTAAAATCATTACTGACAAGCTGTACTAATATTTTCATGAGAATGCCCCTTTTCCCAAAAATTCAATTTTATTTAAACTTTTCAAACTCAAATTTCATGAGAAACATGCAGACAAGATAAAATTTTGAACAAAAAAAAATTTAAAATGAAAGTCACAAAATTAGCAGTGTTGCAAAGGAAAAGGAGGAAAATAAAATGCATTTTCATTTTTCTCTTCAAGACTCCTCATTTTGATTTTGGATGATTGATTTTTAATTTTGTATACGAGTCAAATAATGCAGGTATAGTCTGAAAATGAAAAGGCATTTGTGCTATTGGTTTTAATTTGAATTACGGTACCGATTATCTTCCGTAGATCGCTGAACAACCGTCACGCGGGAGAAAACGCAGTCCCAGTCGCATATTGAACTAAAGCAAACGATACAATTTAAGCTGTGTTCTCTCCATAGCAAACGCTACAAAAGTAATGTATGGAGAGTCACATGGTCATTGCTGGATGTTTTTGTACACGCATTTACTGCACCTGCAACATGGTGACGTCACTAAACCAGTCATCGACTCGACTTCGAATTTATGGTCGGATTGGCCTGTGTAGTTCAGTAGACCGTGGGAGAAGAGACATTGTTAAATGAATGAGTGTATATAGTGGGCTGAGGGTACTGTGTATTATGACACAAAGACAGTTTAACACAATATTATTATTTGTATTACTTTTATATTTTCTATTGATAAAAACACAAGACAGGAAGCATACTCATTTTCAACAACAATTTTGTACAAACTCAGCCCCAGAAGTCTCCACAGGACACAACCAATCTGCAGGTCCTACTTTTGTGTTTCTACTTCTCAGTTACAATATTCACAAAGAGCATTTATTCCTCATCAATCACTACTGTCCGAGTTGTGATTTTTCAGCCAGCTGTCGCGCCCTATCCTCTCTGTAGCCCTTCAGCAGTTGGTTGATGAGAGTCAGTTCGTTCTCCTTCTTCACGGGATACAGAGGAGGGAAGGGGTTGCCTTTATACTCCAGGACGGCCATCTTAGCTCTGTCTAGGTTCTCCCTGTTGGGAACGCGTGCCATGCGGGTGTAACCGTGTGAATGAGACTCAAACCGTGGGGCAAGGACTTTGAAGAGCTTTGGGACCAGATCCTTCTCCTGAAGGAAGGAAACAGAAAAGGTTAAAAATGACCATATATTGTACTCACAGAGTACTTGGAAAGTACGGATGCAATAATCGACCGTCTATTGATCAGAAACTGATAGTTAAGAGATGATCGGCGCGAAAACAAGGCGTTACCACAAATGTTTTACTATGACAGAGCACAGATGGTAGATGAGAAATTAATAATCTGTCAGGTGAGAAAGCTGTGATAATTCTATGTCGTTAATGCTCAAGAAATAACACTTTGCCCTTGTACATGATGATGGTTAAAACTAGTGATCCACCGAAATTAAAATTCTTGGCCGAAACCGAAAATACGGAATCAAAGTCTGAAAACCAAAACTCGAAACACCGAAATAAATGATTATGCCAATTATTAGTTTTTAGCATTTATGGCTATGACTGTGAATTCAACCTCAATAAAATCAAGGCACTGCAACTGCATACATTAATAATAAATAAATACATTAATAATTGTCAATTAATGTCTACTAGAGACATTCATAATTGTCAATTAATGTCTACTAGAGAAATAAAAATCAACTGATAGTCACATAGGAAGTCAGAACAGAATAGTCTACCTGGTATTATTATTTGAGGCATTCTCTTGCAGGATCTCACAGGATTGAACATATCAGACAACCAGGGTGCCTGTCCGTCATCTGTCACAGAGAGACGAGTCCTTTTTGCTGCGCCCAGCTCTCCGTCTCCTGTGCTGTGCGTTTCTCCGTCTCCAAGCGGGTTCTCCGCGTCCATCGCGGCCCGGATCATTTCTCGCGCCCGCTGCTTTATTCCCGCATCCAAGCAATGATCTCTATAATTCGGTTTAGGTACAGACGCGACGAGTGCAGGGGACCCGGATAGATCTCAGTGAAGTTGCTGACCGACTCTATGAGTGGACTTTTCACGCCTTATTGAAATTTCAGCATTACACGTTTTACGGTCTAAGGCTGGGAAAACTGGGTCGGGTGGTTTTCTTTTACGTGGGCATGTAAGTTATTGGTGTTGCCTATTTTTCCGCCGCCACCATTTTGGTACAAATTCGGCTTGTCGTGCCTTGTACGTGCTGCACACGTCCTCACATCCCCCACCAATTACGTCAAAAAGGTGTGAACCCTTTTGTCATTCAAACTTTTTGGAGACGAGAGATGAGAAAAATGAACATGCATTCCCGTGGCAATATGTTGAAGCCAGCAAAATGATCAACTTGAAGAAGCTGCAGACACGTACCGTAAGCCAAAAACTGGCCATTTTCATTGCCTTCTCGTTGGTGTCTCCCTTTTTGGCGTAGTCAATCAGCTGAGGAAGAGCAGAACAGAACCGAATTACATTCAGCATCAACACGTTTATCTCTTTTTGTGTTGGTAACAACATTAATTTCATGAGTTTCATTTTGTGTGCCTGAGCTTGTGCTGGTTTATACACTTTTACCGTCCCTCTTAAGAAAATTAGAAAATGTACCTTTTCTGCATAAAAACGAACTTCATCTGCTCTGCCCAGCGTGGTTTCCAGCCTCTCGTGTCGAACCAGTCCTGTCAGAATGTTTCTTAAAATGTTGATACGGGACTCTGGACCCAGACCCATCCTCCGGGCCACACGGCCATGTGAGATGAGTAAATGCAGCGTGAGGCGCATGGTGTCGGGCTAGGTTTGTGTGCGAGGATCCGCAGCCAAAACGTATCAAGGCGCTTCAACAAACGTATAAACGAAAGATAATAATGAAAAAAATACTATAAACATCAAAATAATAAACTTACAACTCAAAATGACGTTACAACGCCGTGTCAGGGTCAAATGCAGATCCGGACGAACACAGCTGTAGTTTGCGGTCCGTCTATATTGATGTCCGTTCGCCAAGGGACCGAAACACAAAGGTTCCGCATTACTCCACCAAAACGTTTTAAGAAAAACAACCGACTTAACAAATGAACAGTTCGAAAAAAAAATATAATTTCAAGCTGTAGTTTTAAAATAAAATTGTAATTCAGAAACCTGTACGTTTGCATGTTTATTAAGAATATTTATATCAACAACAGTTACTTCAAATATTCAGCAATCAGAGGAGCCTGTTCAGTGACACGCTTCTTCCAAACAGCGGGACCGACAAAAACTCGTTTGTCCCCCGGACAGTTAAACAGCTTATTATTGTTCTGTAATAGTCTGTGCAACAACCACAATGTCTGTATATTCATGCTTTGTCTGTTTTTTTTTTTGTTTTTTTTTTGTTTTGTTTTTTGCGTATGGGGGGGTGTGTGTGTATCTGTCGATCTATCCATCATCCATCCATTTGTCTATTTCTAATAATATTTAATAAAGAATGGTATTCTTACTAGTAATCCATAATATTTATATATTATATAAACTAAATTAAAATTAATTAAACTAAAAAAAAAAAATAAATGTGTTAATTAATAAAATATTTGACAGTGATATTTAATTATTTGGTTTACATAGAAGTGTATGAGGAGAAATTCCTGTTAGTGTATGTCGTGTATTTTACACCTAGGCCTTCAGTGGCATTCTGCCTGAATAAATCCACTTTTTAATAAGATCATTATGTCTATAGAGAAGTATGTTATAAAGAGTCATCGTATTCTCGATAATTTATTGTGACTGTCAGTCATGAACCTCACTGCACGTCACTGCCCCCCATCGATGCGGCCTATCTCTCCTTTGGCGATTTTTTTTTGCCTTCTTCAGTCAGTGTGTGACGCACAGTGCCATAACAAGAACAGCAATGCTTACGCGTCATTTCAGTGATTTAAAGTAATTCTTTATTGGAAATATATTTTTAATATTTATGATATATTTTATATTTCTATTCAGATATACAATTTTTTTTCTATTATAACACACAGTACCCTCAGCCATTTTTGGATATTTTTTTTTTACTCACAATATGTAAAATCAGAATATATCCCATTGTGTTATTTCCACGTATTACAGTGCAATATTTTATTGTACTACGATACCAGACGATGCAGATAGAAATAAAGGGAAACATTGTTTAGAATTCGGTGTCTAAGGCTTTATTGACTTAGGTGGTGCATGTCTGAACATTTTTCAAAAATCTACAAATATATTGGAGGTAGAATCTGGAAAGATCAGATTTAATAGCTGGCCATGGTCCTCTCCAGCCAGTCGTTGAAGAGACAGACCTGTAAACAAACATGGAATTAGGCCTTTTTTAAGGACTGACAGTCAATAACACATACTATTAATTTTAAATGGTCAGAATTTTAGTTAAAATCCAAGTATATAACTATTATTTCCAACATACCTTGGCGTAGACACCAGGGTGATCCTTCTCAGCACATCCGTATCCCCAGGACACAACACCCTGCAGCTCGCCGTTGCACACAACGGGGCCACCAGAGTCACCCTGACAATGAGGATTAGCAGTGTGTTAACACAAACATCACATTACATGTAATAACAGTCCCTGTTATTCTGCTTATACATATAGGTTGTACCTGGCAAGAGTCCTTGCCACCCTCCAGGTATCCAGCACAGAACATGGCATTGGTGATCATTCCAGGGTAGGAGTTCCTGCAGTCACTGTCAGACAGAATAGGGAGGTCCAAGCACTGCAGCTTGTTTTTGTCAGCAGCTACAAAGTAGAGAAGAAAAGTATTTAAGATGGAAGTTTCAAGCAAAAAAACAAATACAGAGTTACTGTGGAAGTTCTACATCTGACTCACTAGAGCTCATGGTGTTGCCCCAGCCAGAGACTTTGCACATGGTGCCAGCAGGGGCACAGCTGGAGGGGAGAGCCACAGGCTTCACATACTGGTTGAGAGTGGCAGGCTTGCTCAGTTTGATGAGCATGATGTCGTTGTTGATGTTGTAGGAGCTGTAGTTGGGGTGACGGATGACACGGGAGGAGCTGATGAACTGCTCAGTACCCTCAGTGACCTTGATGTTGTGCTCGCCCATACGCACCTCCACACGGCTACAGGGATGAAAAGATATTTGTCAAAAACACTTATACTTTTCATCTAAAAAGGACGAGTGTCACGGGTAAGTCAATCTGTGACATACGATTTGTAGCAGTGAGCAGCAGACACGACCCAGTTCTCATTGACCAGAGAGCCTCCACAGAAGTGGTAGCCGGAGTTCAGAGACACCTGATGGGGCTGGGAGTATGGCTGACACTCATACCCTCCAACGATCTTGTCGTCCTCCAAGGCAACTGAAATGACAAATTAATAATAATTGAAAATAAATAAATAAATATATGTATTACATTTCACTTGGTTGTTTACTTACAAGCAGCTCCGATGAGCAGAACAAAGACCAGAGACCTCATGGTTGCTGAGTGATCTTGTGGATGAGAGGACTTTACCAGGATCCACGGCTTATATAGGACGGCGTCTGCTCACTGAGCTGAGCACAACTCCCACCTTCAGTTTTGACCAATGAGGCTTCTTCACGTTGTGCTGAAACAGCTTTTTTTTTTTCCTTTTCAAAAACATGGTTTCCAATAGTTTTAATTTTAATTTATTTTAATTATCTGCTGAGCACAACTCCCACCTTCAGTTTTGACCAATGAGAATCCTTGACGTTGTGCTGAAACAGCTTTTTTCTTTTTTGTTTGTTTGTCAAAAACCATAATTTTGTATAGTTTTAGTATTAATTCATTCAATTGACAATTATCTTGCTTTAACATTTAATACATTTACATGGTTGGTCTTGTGTTTTTTTTTCTACTTTATGCAGTTTTGAGATCTCATTCAGTAAAAACAGAACAACACTTGTTAGGGTCAGGGTTGCCATTGACATGGAAAGAGTTGTGTTATGATGACATACTGTATCTGCTGTGGCAGGTGGCATGGTTCACAGTCACTGTTTCATACATGTGTGGTAACTGAAGAAAACATTTAGATATGTTTTTATAATACTACTAATAATAATTATAACAATAACATACATTGTTAATCCAGATATATCAAAATCTTACACATAACAAACACGTTTCTGTCTTTAAACTGTTGCAACAGAAAGACACATTTTTACATGAGTGCTACAGAGTCCGCCGAACATGTAGCTGTAAGTATAAAATCAAATTTTATTTCAGACAAATGTATATGAACGTTTCTTAAGAATATTTATATCAATAGCAGTTACTACAAATATTTAGCGATCAGAGGAGCCTGTTCAGTGACAGGCTTCTTCCAAAGATCAGGACAGACAAAAACTCCTTTGTCCACCGGGCAGTTAAACTGTTCAACACTTTACTCTTCTGTGATCCCCTATGAAACAATCACAACGGCTGGATATATTTTGTCTGTTATCTTGTGTCTATATAAGCAGATGTATGTGTGTGTATATGTATATATATGTATACACATATATATTTACAGTATATGTATAATGTATACATCTACATATGTACATAGATAGATGTATGTATATCCATTTGTGTATATGTATGTGTATATATACATATACTGTATATCTAGTATATGGTCTCTCAATCTATTATGGGACGCTTGATCTGGAGGTCCATTTAGCAGAACTGAGGAACTCACTTTCAAGAAATATAAAGCAAGATTGGAAAGTAAGTATCTTTTGGAAACATATTCAAAATATTTATATATTTCTATCGATGATATTCCTATTTATTCAGAACTGCCTGCTCTATACTCATGCCTGATTTATGCAGCAATAATGGCGTATCAGGGGCATCAGATTACAATATTTTCTTACTCACAATGTGTAAAATCTGAATACAGTGGACAAGCCGAGACACGAGTTTGATCCGTTCCACAACGGCACCCGTGTCTCGATCCACTCGTATCTGAATCCAATTCCCCCCATTAAAAATAACTAAACACCCAACAATTTGTTCCAGCCCCCCAGAAATATAGTAATATTTTTCCTCCTATCTAAACATCAAAAACATAGATATAAACAAATATGTTGATAATATAAAATAATAATCATTAAGAAATTATTTTATATTATTGTTATAAAAATTTGTAAAATAACCAAGTGAGGAACAGTGAGCGACACAGCATGACAGAGTGTCGGGCCACTAAGCATAGACGAAGGGTTATATATATATATATACTTTTTTAAAATTTTATTTTATTAAAGACTAATAGTTTGTGATGAACTCCGCAGCTGCTTTGGCATCAGAGCTCGCGGCTTTCCCATGCCGTATGACTGAATGGATACCAACCCTCGGTTGAGCACCTGTAACTAGGTATTTCCTCGTATCACGAGCAAAATCTTGCAATAGTTGCAGACGCGTAACATGGAATACATATATATTTCGGGAAGCTCACATCTAGAGGGTCCACTGTTTATCCCATTGTGTTATTTCCACGTAATACAGTGCAATATTTTATTGTACTACGATACCAGATGATGCAGATAGAAATAAAGGGAAACATTGTTTAGAATTCAGTGTCTAAGGCTTTATTGACTTAGGTGGTGCATGTCTGAACATTTTTCAAAACTCTACAAATATATTGGAGGTAGAATCTGTAAAGATCAGATTTAATAGCTGGCCATGGTCCTCTCCAGCCAGTCGTTGAAGATACAGACCTGTAAACAAACATGACAGTCAATAACACATAATATTATTTTAAAATGGTCAGAATTTTAGTTAAAATCCAAGTATATAACTATTATTTCCAACTTACCTTGGCGTAGACACCAGGGTGATCCTTCTCAGCACATCCGTATCCCCAGGACACAACACCCTGCAGCTCGCCATTGCACACAACGGGGCCACCAGAGTCACCCTGACAATGAGGATTAGCAGTGTGTTAACACAAACATCACATTACATGTAATAACAGTCCCTGTTATTCTGCTTATACATATAGGTTGTACCTGGCAAGAGTCCTTGCCACCCTCCAGGTATCCAGCACAGAACATGGCATTGGTGATCATTCCAGGGTAGGAGTTCCTGCAGTCACTGTCAGACAGAATAGGGAGGTCCAAGCACTGCAGCTTGTTTTTGTCAGCAGCTACAAAGTAGAGAAGAAAAGTATTTAAGATGGAAGTTTCAAGCAAAAAAACAAATACAGAGTTACTGTGGAAGTTCTACATCTGACTCACTAGAGCTCATGGTGTTGCCCCAGCCAGAGACTTTGCACATGGTGCCAGCAGGGGCACAGCTGGAGGGGAGAGCCACAGGCTTCACATACTGGTTGAGAGTGGCAGGCTTGCTCAGTTTGATGAGCATGATGTCGTTGTTGATGTTGTAGGAGCTGTAGTTGGGGTGACGGATGACACGGGAGGAGCTGATGAACTGCTCAGTACCCTCAGTGACCCTGATGTTGTGCTCGCCCATACGCACCTCCACACGGCTACAGGGATGAAAAGATATTTGTCAAAAACACTTATACTTTTCATCTAAAAAGGACGAGTGTCACGGGTAAGTCAATCTGTGACATACGATTTGTAGCAGTGAGCAGCAGACACGACCCAGTTCTCATTGACCAGAGAGCCTCCACAGAAGTGGTAGCCGGAGTTCAGAGACACCTGATGGGGCTGGGAGTATGGCTGACACTCATACCCTCCAACGATCTTGTCGTCCTCCAAGGCAACTGAAATGACAAATTAATAATAATTGAAAATAAATAAATAAATATATGTATTACATTTCACTTGGTTGTTTACTTACAAGCAGCTCCGATGAGCAGAACAAAGACCAGAGACCTCATGGTTGCTGAGTGATCTTGTGGATGAGAGGACTTTACCAGGATCCACGGCTTATATAGGACGGCGTCTGCTCACTGAGCTGAGCACAACTCCCACCTTCAGTTTTGACCAATGAGGCTTCTTCACGTTGTGCTGAAACAGCTTTTTTTTTTTCCTTTTCAAAAACATGGTTTCCAATAGTTTTAATTTTAATTTATTTTATTGACAATTATCTTGCTCTTATATTTAATTAATTTGCATGGTTGGATTTTTCTTTCTATCATGTTCAGTTTTGAGATCTCATATAGTAAAAAATGTGTGAATGTGTGTTCAGAACAATATTTGTTAGGGTCAGGGTTAACTTTGACATGGAAAGAGTTGTGCCATGATGATATAACTGCTGTGGCAGGTGGCATGGTTCACAGTCACTGTTTCAAACACGTATAGTAACTGAAGAAAACATTTTTAATGCTGGAAATTCTACTCCTCTTTCCCAATGCTTTCCAGGATCGAAAATATAAATCCATTAGCGTTCTTAGCTAAATAAAACCATGTATGATTATTATGTTATTTTTACATTCCTTGCCGTCTTTTGACATTTTACATATGATAGTGTTAAGACTGTATTTATTATAGGTTGTAGTTAATGGTTTCATTTTAACAGCTCAGTCCAATCACTTGAACATTTTAAACCTCTCCTCTTCAAAGATCACGATTCACCACCAAACTAAAGATACAGTGTATTACATGTATTGGACAACAATGTCCTTGTTTCTATATTATGTAGGTGAAAAAAAAAAGAACCATGAACTAAAAAGTTAACCAACAAGTTTGTTAAGACTGTAACTGCAAATACGTCCGAAAAATGAACCACCTTAATACCTTTAACTTAAACATTAATAAACAGCCACCGCTGGAAGTAAATATATTTACTCAGTGATATCCAGGTGGTGACTGTTGGCATGCCAGTGTATGCTGTTCCAGGAACTTCAACACAGATGAAGCTCAGTGAGAAATGGTGAAAGTCTTTCAGCTGTGAACACCGTCGCTCAACCTTGACGGTGAAGAAACTTACTTTTGAAGTCAATTAAACCATGTGAGATACATATATGTTGTTACTTTTACATTCCATGCCCTTGTAAATATCTCCTTTACTTTATTATAGACTTGCATTTAGCACCGTGGGTCCGAGAGGACTGAAATTTCATTGTGCCATATGTCCTGTACGTATGGCATATTTGACAATAACGCTGACTTTGACTTTAAAGGAACGTAATTTCCTGATGAAAAAGATATTTTACTCGTAAATACCGCAATTTCCGGTCTATAAATCGCTACGTTTTTCACACGCTTTGAGCCCTGCGGCTTCAACAATGATGCGGCTAATTTATAGATTTTTAGGGGTCAAACACGTATAGTAACTGAAGAAAACATTTTTAATGCTGGAAATTCTACTCCTCTTTCCCAATGCTTTCCAGGATCGAAAATATAAATCCATTAGCGTTCTTAGCTAAATAAAACCATGTATGATTATTATGTTATTTTTACATTCCTTGCCGTCTTTTGACATTTTACATATGATAGTGTTAAGACTGTATTTATTATAGGTTGTAGTTAATGGTTTCATTTTAACAGCTCAGTCCAATCACTTGAACATTTTAAACCTCTCCTCTTCAAAGATCACGATTCACCACCAAACTAAAGATACAGTGTATTACATGTATTGGACAACAATGTCCTTGTTTCTATATTATGTAGGTGAAAAAAAAAAG